GGAGATGGAGGCAGTGGTGTAAGGGAGATGGAGGCAGTGGTGTAAGGGAGATGGAGGCAGTGGTGTAATAGGGGTAGAGGCAGAATTCTCCAGTGACCATACATTCTAGTTTTTGCTCAGATTATTTGTTTTATATTTATTTTCTGACTCTGTTCACTTCTGATCTGAATTACTGCAGTCCACAGTAATAAGCAGATTAAGGTCAAATCCAGGCGAATCATTTTTATACTTTAATATTGATGCATCAAATATTTATTGAAATTCTCTTGAGCTCAATGGTTGTATGAATGCTTGTGAAATTTGGAATGCTTTATTATAGAGACACCAAACTCAACACACTGTGAAACAATCACTGAAGATATTGAAAGCACTGATATTGGAGAGAAGAAAAAAGAAAATGATCAAAACAAGCCCAAAAATAATGGTTCAAGCAATTCTGGTCTTCTAATCACTGGAGCAACTTCATTGGCTGTGGACAGTGATGTAGAAACCAGTGACAGTGAAACTGAAAGCGAACCAAAGTTACCGCCAAAACAAATAAAAGAAGGTATGTGCGAGTTATATTGTATCTAAGATTAATCAAAATGTTAAGAGGGATCGATTATGAAAATCTGAAGGAAAGACTTTCTAATGTACCCCCCTTACCCTAACTCTATAACCCTAACCCTAACACACCAACCCCCCCCCAATTCAGTTGTATATGGCCCTCTAGATAACAATAGGTGTTCTAAAGAGGGGCATATACAATTAATCTGAGGGGGAAATAGAGGGTAGGGGTTAGGTTTATGTTTGGATTGTAGGTGCGGGACCATTGGAATCAATCTTAACCTCAACTGCCATGGATTTGTTTTTATTACAGAGACAGAAGCTGAACAAAAACCTGTCACTCCTCTCAAGATTCGAATACATGTACCCAAAGGTAGGTTGTTTTACAATATATTCCTCTGCTTTCTCTTTTTCAGACAGTGGCTTTCTCTTACTGTAGACTGATCTGCACCATAGTTCTTTTTTGTACTCGGTCATTTCTCATAAAGCCTGTATTATACATCAAAACAGGTTAATTCATTATATGTCTAATAACGATTTGTTTATTGAATTGTAGATGTAAACATGCAAGCCCCACCACCTCCTTCAACACCAGTAGAACAAGAATCCAAAGAACACAGCCGTACTAGATCATTCTTTAATAATGAAAAACATTGTTATGTAATGGATGCTAAGTCCATCGGAAATCTTGGAAGATACCTTAATGTAAGTATAGCAGTGTGTGTGTGTTAACATATCCATGCTTGTACTGAAGTATTAAAACTACCACATTATTGGTGTTATTGTATACCAATGAAAAAATACAATTCTGCTATCAATATTGTAATTAGTCCCAGTCAGAGGAAACAGAGACTTATGTTTTGAGGTCTGTCTGTCCATGTGACTGTCTGTGAATCTGTCAGTCAATCATTATATCTTGAACATGCCTTCACCAATTTCATTCGAATTGACATCACTCGTGATTTGTTGTGATTTGATGTAACTGGTGGCCATTTTGGTTTGTTGTTTTTTACAAACTTGTTTATTGCTTCTTTCTCAGAGATATTTTTACAGATTTTGCTTTGGTGGAATAATGGGTTGAATTTTGTCTTCAGTTATTTTTGTATTCCAGTAAAATTTAGCTGACTGCGGACCACTTTTGTTGCAAAAAATTAAAATCAACAAATTTGAACATGTCATTAACTGTTTCCCATGCATATTTGCTGATTCTTGAATCTGTTAAAACTGGGCAACTCAGTTTGTTTTGTGATTTGATTTTTTTCTTGTGTTCTTAACCATTTCTCAGACATGCTTTGTAGTTACAAACACACTATAATGTGATTTTTTGATGATGATCTTTGACAGACTAGTGGCTATATTTGTTATATTAAAACACCAAAAAAATGTTTCTCAGGCATGCTTGGGTCAATTTCATTGAACCTTGGTATGAACATCACACATGATGGTTGATTATGTTACTTGATATAATGATAGGAGGTGTCACTTTGACTGAGCATCATATTTTTATCCTACTGAGTACTCCTTCAACATTTATTTACAATTTATCTACATACTACAAACTAACTGGTAACATAGTGGTTGTCGCATCAGACTCATGATCGGTAGACCCAAGTTCAAAACCTACTTTAGGCTGAACATCAAAAGGGTCGACCCCTACCCTGTGTGAGTGTGCCACAGACTCAATGGGAAGGCCAATTCCACTTGCCGAGATTCATTCACTAACGAATGCGACTTTGGGGGAACCTTGGTTAAGGTCCGCAGGTGCTTGTGCTCGACCAAGCCTGGTTGACGCCAGGATAGCGCATTAAAATTGCCATTTGATGGGGAGATGGCCACACAGCCCTGTCATGTAGTTCCAAACAGGAAATGACTTCTGTGGCAAAATGCACTATGTGTCAGCACTAGTCCAGAACTGTCGCCTGGCACAAAAAAATAAAAAAACAAACAAAAAAACTAAGTGTTGAATATATTGAGAACAAATGATATCAAATAACCTTTTTGATTTTCTCTCTTTACAGCATAGCTGCTCACCTAATTTATTTGTTCAGAATGTCTTTGTTGACACTCATGATCTTCGCTTCCCATGGGTGGCTTTCTTTGCGCAACAGTAAGTACTCTTCTATGTTTAATTCGTATATCAGATTCAAGTATTAGGTATGCTGGAGAGGGGGGGGGGTTGTAAAGGGGTATTGGACATTGTCAGCGAGATATAAAATAACAAATTAGTGTTAAATTATTCTGAAAATAGTAGAAAATAGTGAAGTTTCTATCCATGTGTGCTGCCACTTTGTCATTTTGATTTTATGATATATTTGAGAATGGCTTTATTGTGTTCTATTCTCATATGCGCTTTGACAAACTTTGTTTGGAGTTGGCACACATACACGGTATAATGGTTTAGGGATTTGTATTTTGATACAATTTCTTTGTTCATTAAATTGATTAGATTGGGTGATGACATCAAGCAAACTTTGGATGAAGATAAAATTACTTTCCTGGACTTATTGCTGTACATACAATAATTTGGCTAGTCTTAATGTTTGTTCCTTGTTTTATTCAGGTATATCAGAGCTGGTTCTGAATTGACATGGGATTATAATTATGAAGTAGGCAGTGTTCCCGGTAAAGTTTTACAATGTTACTGTGGATCAACCGACTGCAGAGGAAGATTACTCTAGGTATTGACTTTTCGTCAATCCATCAATGTCCACTGTATTATGCCTGTATTCTCAGGGAAACAAAACGCTTTGTATTCTCTCCCAGTAACATAAATGTATTCTATAAATAATTATGGGCTCTATTAAGATGATTATTTTGAATGTTTATGAAACTAAAGCATATTTTTTCCATTAATTTTATTTTTCATTGTTTTTGTTTATATTAAATGTCATCAACATTTTGAAAATAGTGTTTGTGTTTTTCTACCCATGTTTTTTCATACCCCATATTACCATATTTATCTGAATCAATGTCCACCAATGTTTTAGCTCCAGGGTGATCTTTTTCTGTTCCGATGAAGCTTTGTAGAAAGTTATGCAAATCTACAACAACAAAAATGTAGCTAATGTTAAACATTGAAAAAAATGATGCAAGTTTGTTGTAAGACTAGTTTGATGCAATTCAAAACTTCACAACTGAGAGCTTGTCAATCTGGCTAGCTTGTACTGACACAGGTTCAAGTAGCTATCCAATCAAAGACATGAATCAGATCACTCATGACATCTATGTATAGAAGCAATGAACTTTCAACATGACGCCAAGGTTATTCAAGCTGTTGGGGCAATACTTTCTAATTCTTTTTGCATTGACTGGGGAAATGTTCTGATCTATATGCAGATGCACTTCTTTTGGTTTCTTGCCACATCAGAGTAGTTATGTTTATGCTGTGAAAAAAAAAGATTGAGGTTAATGTTCTTTTGAAATCATCGCAGGTACAATGTTTTGCGATCTTTCAGTAGGGATCATTGCATACATCAAGGGTTGTCACTTTTTCTTTTTTTTTAATGAGTTTGACAATGATTTCCATGCTATGTTATGCATAAAAAGTGTGAAAAGGAGCACAATTGGAGGTGGAGCACAAGTCTACATCAGTCGAAGAAATCAATTACAGAACCGATCCCACTCTTAGTTATTTTATATCCATCTGTGTGAACAATTTACTGTCGGTCTTGAATATCAACTTCTGATTATATTGCGATCTTCAATGACATTAGATTCTCTGATGGAGATTCAAACTGTAAATGATGGAGTGGGTAAAAGCAAATTGAAAGATACAGTCTTGTCTATGACTTGCGGGAAGTGCATCATACAGTTCATATCAATGCAATGTGTCAAATGAATGTTGTGTTAGCACCAGTACCCATGTGAGTTACAGTACATTTGTCTGTTTTGATGGATTCTGACCCAGTAATAATAGTATGGGTTCTTTATGAAGAGCAACGAGACAAAACTTGACTCAGTCTTCACCCTTATTAATAAAATTGGTCAGATTCCCTGAAAGTCAATGTCATCACTGATTCAGCATTAACACCCCACTCCCTGAATCAACATTTATGTTTATGGTTGAGGCAATGAAGGTCAGTCAGTCAGTCAGTCGCTCTCTTCTTCCCTCTCTCCCTCCCTCGCTCACTCACTCATTCACTCACAGACAAGTTAGCTCTATCAGTAGCAGAGCAAGGGTACGCAATTCTGTTCAAGGAACATAAAGAAAGTGGGAATAATTTTAGCAAAGATTGCAGAAAAGGGTACAACCCTATACTATCCATCCAGTCTTAGTAGCAAAGGAAACAGTTGAGGTGCAACCAGTACTACAACAGTCTTTCATTCCTGAAGCAAACCAAATCAGAAGATGTGCTGTGCTACATAAACATCAGCAACACACAACTGTAGTTACAGAACTGAAATAAGTACAATATCACCCGCATGACACTGCATTACATTTGGCCAGGTCATTCATGATGGGTGAAGAGGTTAATTTAACATTGTACTTTTTCTAGTATTTAATTTATTGTAAACTATGTGAACTATGTCTAAATATTGTCCAGTCAGATCTGACATTTTGTGTCATCTAATTAACCTTATATGATAACTGAGATACTCTCGTACTTGGCTTGAATACGCACTTCGTCGTGTCTCTGGACTTGGCCATCTTTTGGGCAGACTCCCTGAGAGAATAACGTTTCACTATACCACCTATCTGTAGTTAGACTTGATCCACAATCCTGACATGGTGGACGGGATCAGAACATCGAATATTAGCAAATAGGGTCTCACTGACAGGTCTCACCATAGGCAGCAGTTCCTCCAATGAAAAGTCAAAGACTTCGGAGACACCAAAAAGACGAATACCTCATAAAACCAATGCGTAAGTACAAGGTGATGTAGTAATCGATGAGAAGTGCAAGACTTCAAGAAATATTTTGTAAACAGTGTCAATGCGAGTATTAAACGCCACATGAAGCAAAAACACCATGAAAGGACCAGAAACTGTATTATTATTAAGAAAAAATGGCCACATAAGGTAATAAACATCGCACATTAACAATAAATAGGGAAATCTACGATAGGTAACATTTTCAAAATCATAGTATGACTATTTAGTTTTGGGTGTTTCACTTCTAACAACATCATGACTATCATGTTTCTCAATGCTTTGGTGGTTATTAACATCCTCTCTTGGTGCCCAGATCAGACAATTATTCTTGAATGCAAGCACATCCGAAGGATTCAAATCTTCATCTCTGACACATCTGATCTCAGACGAGGGAGATTTTATGGTACCTGTGGGAAAATCAGTGTGTGGGTGGCCAGTAGGCTATCAATTTCTGACCAAGTATCTATCTGTTTGCCGCGCATAACAGGATGATTAAACAGGCACCCTTTCTATCCCATTATGCTATAGTTTGTAGACTTCCTCAGTCATGCATAGAGAAGGACACCTTCCCCATAGTGACCAATATTAAAGGAATTATCAACACTGTGCTGAAGATCAGTTTGGGGTGAAGCGCTTTCATGGATGATGCAGTAAAGGCTGAAGGGACTGGTGTGATCAATACCAAATGTCACATCAAGGCCCATTCTGCTTCAGCACTCACTTTTGTGACATTCCCGTTTCCAGTAATTTTTCTCATTCTAGATTCTGGCAGGACATGAGCAAAACTGTGGACTCTATCCTTTGATGATAAGCCGATCATATGGCAGATGCTGGGATTGCTGGCCCTTCACCTTCATTAGTTCGTGAATTGCCCGAGCCCCACTATTTCGGTAGTCTAAAATACGATCCACATAACATGTAGAAAGTATGGATTTAGAATGTGACGATTATTATAAATTGTCGGAGATTCATAATATATATTTGTATTTGTTTCGCTATAGTTAATTTGTTTATTCTTTCGTATGAAGGATTCTTCTGAGTAATTCTCGACCAATTAGAATCATTTAATTTCATCCAATAGATATTGTTTACCAATCATTTTACTCATTGTTGTATCTGTTTTCGCCCGCGCAATTTACTCATTAGTATTTCTTGCTTACATAATTATTTTCTCTCAAGTTCGACAGTCTTATATATAATAAGCCAGTTTCGGGGCTCCTTATTCATGTGTAACATGTTTCTATGCCAGTTTGTTAAGCAAACTACATTTGACTGTTGTTTATTTTGTTATCAAGCACTACTGAGGTGCACTACTCTATCCCCCACATAAATATTGCCCTGTGAATGAATTAAATTTGGTTATATTGATATTGGAGAAAATGGCACAGTTACTGTTTTATGATACTTACATTATTATATTACTAGTATTATTACTACTGATTAAGGCATACACAGGAAGTGGTATTTCTCAATCTATAACTTTTATAGAAGACTAGTTTGTGCTGTAAATATGATTTGTACACAACAATTCGTTGTCATTATATACTGATTGAAATGAACAGTATCGTTACAATAATTATTTACATTATTCAATTTCTTTCAAACTTGGATATTATATTAACCAGTTTTGAATCTGGGCCAACTTCTATTTTGCTACCTGTTCGATGTATATTTTTCAAGATGTTGGTTGAATATATGTCTTCTTATTGTGATTATAATAACTCTAATAATTATAATAGCCATAAAGTCTGGATACATTCCTATCCTCTTGTACACTGGATGATTTTTGTCAACTTGTAGTTGAACCGCATTTCGCACGATAAGTTATCATGGTTGCGGTGCCCCTTCTTAAATTGATAACTGTAAAAACAGCCTTTGGTACACAAACTTTAAAATACATGTAGGACCCCTAACAATAAGTTAATAAGAGATATGTATTCCACATTTTCACAATATATTCAACAAGCAATGAATGGAAAATTATATACGTTCTGTGGATTAGGATATAATACACACCCATTCGTGGGTATCTCACACCGTGTCATTGGTCAATTATAGCATTCACCAGGTGTGTTTATAATTGGGAGAATTCCTTCAGTCTCGGTTGTAACACCCACGATGCTCACAGTAGCAAAGTTTATTTGTGTATATTGTACTACTATTTGGAAATTGTGTAATAAACGTAGGATGTATATGCACTGAACGCATGTGAGGTAGAACAGCCACCGCATACCACGTGTTACGTGTACTAGTGTCTGTCATTTGTGTCGAAGTTGGGAAAAGTTATACAATACGCACAGTGCAAACATACTGCAAACAATGGAAACTAGATATCAATGTGTCAAAATCAAAAATTATCATTTTCAACAAGCAAGGTAAAATATTAAGTAAGTTCAGATTTCAAATTAATAGCCAAAAATTGGAAAACGTCTCATCTTACTCCTACCTTGGTGTTAAAATCAATGCTACTGGTAAACTGAACAGAGCTCAAGAAGACCTTAGTCACAGAGCAATGAAGGCACTTTTTAAACTAAAACAATTACTCTATGCAGACCCAAATATTCCAATCAAAACACATCTGAAATTGTTTGATGCTATGGTTAAACCAATTTTACTCTACTGT